CCCTCCCCCTCCTCTCTTTTTTTCCCCCGGCTCCCACTGCCATGCCTTCCCCCGAGTCCTTTAAACGCACAACCCGCTCAGCTTGTCAAGCTGGAAATGGCTCAATTAAAAGTGCGTCTTACACATCCTCACCCTCACTGCTCCCGTCACACCTCAGTCCCCAGTCCTCGAATGCCTTCCTGTGTCAGTACCTAAAGAGTCACTCAAAAAAAAAAAAAAAAAAAATTCTACAAAGTATTTCTGTAGGAAGAGACAGAAAGGAAGGATTGATTTTCTAGCTGTTTGGACATGTGTCACTTTTTAAGTAGCATTTGTTGTATTTCTCATGTTTTAATAGCTAACAGGTATTGAGTTATTATGAGTCAGGCACTCTGCAAAGGAAGAGATGTTCCTTGCAGAAAATCTGGAAAATTCCGAGAGCTGTAAAAAAAATGGAATCCCTCATTATCCTACCCCTCAGAGAGCCACTGTTAACTTTTTAACAGTCCTTCCAGACTTTTGTACGCATCTGGAAATGTATGTAAATTTAAAAAAAAAACAAAATCAAAACCGTATTCTGTTGTACAATTTGGTGTTTTGCTTTGGGCGTGTAACACGGTATTAGGAAAACCGTTCCGCATCACGAAGTCTTACTTGCTTCTTGGGCTGCCCAGGGCGCTGCCACGTGTGCTCACCTGCAGCGTCTCCTACAGGTGTGCTCTGTGGCATGATCGCCATCGCAGATGCGGTCAAGCAGGAGGCCGCCCTGGCCGTGCACACACTGAAGAGCATGGGCGTGGATGTGGTTCTGATCACGGGGGACAACCGCAAGACAGCCAGAGCCATTGCCACCCAGGTAAGGGCCGGGGGCCGGGATGTCTCCCACATCTGAAACTGCAAGCGATTTCAAGCTGGCAGAAGCAGTTTAAGGAAGATAGGTAAGCACTAGTGCGTTGAGCACTCAGCTTTGCTCTGGTCCTCCCCCCTCGCTGGGGCTTTTCTCTCCACACGCTTTGATCTCGGAGCCGTGCACGTCCCACAGGGGACCACCTTGCTGCTGCCCCAAAGATCACACTGCTGGGGCCTGGGTGCCAGCATTCATCCCTGCACGGTGGCTGCAGCCCCAGAAAGGCTGTTTCAGCATTCTTTATTTTCCAGCCGTTGCACTGAGGAAAAAAGACCATGGCTTGAGGGCTGAAATAAACAACCTTGTAGCCTTTATATTAAGGGAGTGTTTTGCCGGCCCAGCTCTTCTCACTCTGCACCAGATAAGCCCCTGGGTCCCGGCAGTTCTTCTGCGGCGCTAGGGTCTGACTTTGGGCCACGAGGGCAGCACGACCGCATGCCTGCCTGCCCTGCCTCGCGGGGAGGGCTCCAGTGCAAACTCCAGACAACTGTATACCACCCCTTGCGGACATGTGTGTAAAGCTGTCTGCTTTTGAGAAGGAATTGCTCCCTGGGAAGGGAGCGACAGTGCCCCGTCAGTCGTCCTTCTGAGAGTACACCCACTCCCGCATTAAAACTTGTTCCTGCATTCAGCAAGCACTTACTAAGCGCCACCCCTGTGACAGAGAGGAGTGAAGAGGGCACCGCCCTCGAGGAGCTCACGGTCCCGTGGGGAGGGTGGCCCAGGGACCAAGTGTAAACCAGGTGCTGGGCGCTCCAGTGGAAGAGTACACGGGACGCATGGGAGCTGCCAGCTTACCCCTCAGCCTGGCGGGGGCCGGGGACACCTTCCAGGGGAGAGGAGGCCTGCAGGAGTCAGATGAAGAAGAAGGGGTGCTGGGGGCAGCAAAAGTGACCTTTGCAGGACAGAGCAGGCAGCACGAGCACCGCCTGCGGGTGCAAGGTAGCAGCGAGTTGGAGAGGCCAAGGCGGGGCCCGCTGGGGCCGGGGGGTGGGGTGCAGGGAGCTGGGCACAGGCAGGACCTGACCTGGGGATCTTGGGAGGCAGGCAGAGGAATTTGGACGTTGGCCTAAGGGAAGTGGGATCTGCTGGAGGCCTTGAAGCAGGAGAGTAACGTGACCAATGATTACTGTTTCGGAAAGGTCACCGGGACGGCATCTGGAGAAGAGTGCTGGGAGGGCAGGATGTGGGCAGGAGGCCAGCGAGGGTCCCAGACCACCGCGGGGTGTTGGGATGGGAGCAGGGGGTACATTTGCCGTGCGACCTGGCATCTGCAGGACTTGGTGACGGGACTTGGAGGCTGAGGGCTCCTGGGCTTCTGCTCCTGTTCCTGCCCCTCGGCAACACCGGATGTTATTGTGCATTTGCTTTTTTATTGACTGCTGTTCTTTCCTTTCAGGTTGGCATCAACAAAGTCTTTGCGGAGGTGCTGCCTTCTCATAAGGTGGCCAAGGTCCAGGAGCTCCAGAACGAGGGGAAGAGAGTGGCCATGGTGGGCGACGGTGTGAACGACTCCCCGGCCCTGGCCCAGGCCGACGTGGGCATCGCCATCGGGACGGGCACGGACGTGGCCATCGAGGCAGCTGACGTCGTCCTCATCAGAGTGAGCTCTGCTGCGTCTCCCCTCGCTGTTGCCCGTAGCAGGAGTGCCGAGGGCCGTAGAGCGGAGCTCGCAGTTCACCGTGTGCTCCTCTCCTGCAGAATGACTTGCTCGACGTGGTGGCCAGCATTCACCTCTCCAAGAGGACCGTCCAGAGGATACGACTCAATCTGGTGCTGGCACTGATCTACAACCTGGTCGGGATCCCCATTGCAGCAGGTAGGCCCTCGCTGCCCTGTTGCCTCTGGCCCTAGTTGTGGCCAGAAGCCTTGAAGAAAGAGTTGATTTTATTATGTTCCGCTTTGTAAGTCTCCAAAGGTAAATGAGAGACTGCAGGGAGAACCCAAGCCTTCTGTTCACTGCTGGCCTCTCTGAAAAGCTGGCCAAGTTGCTCAACCCTATTTACCTTGGCCCTGTTTTCTGGAACATTATTAAGACATACAGTCTGAAAAATAATCAATATTAACAGTTATGGGGCACCCGTTACACGCGAAGCCCGGGATCAGTGTTTAGAACTTTGTCTTAAGAATTAATCCCGCCTAGGTTTTATCCTGACTCGGAAATAATCATGGGAAGAGATGGATATTGTCTGCTCCCTAAGTCCTCCCTCCCCCACTGTATCTTGTGTCACCAGAGAGGGAAGAGTTGTTCCAAAGACCCCTGCAAGGAAAGCGCCTACATGGGCCAAGACCTATTTTTAAACGTGACTGCCGCACCCCACATTCCGCTGTTGGGTCCGAGCGGTCGGCACTGCCTCACGCGGTGGATCAGCGCGTCCACCGCAGCCCGGCTCTGGCAGGTGCATTCCTGCCCTGTGGCCGGCTCAGGACCTGGTCCCCTCCCGGGCTTGCGGCTCTGTCCCAGGACCTGGTCTTGTTGCCCCTCATCAAGGTGCTTTGACGCCCTTGAGGGAGGACCTTCCGTGGAGAGAGGGCCCATGTTCGCCAGCGTGTTGCCCCGGTGCTCACACCCCCGAGGTGCCCCCGCATGGTGGCACCTGCAAGTCCCTGGGGCGCCCTGTCCCCTGGCGCTTCCCCCAAACAGGTGAGGGCACGTCTGGATGGTCCCAGGAAGGTCAGGGTGGGTGGGGTCCCCTTGACGGTGCCCCCGCCCCCCGCCCAGCTCTGAGACCGCCCGCCTCAGGCCCACGGGCACGCGGTCAGCGGCCAGCCCAGGGGCTTCCGAGCCGCCCTGAGGAGAGCTTCTGGTGGGCGGCGAGGCTGGGCCCCCCTCGCTGTCCGCCCTGGGCTGCGGCCTGAGTGCAGTCCCCCTCTTGGCCAGGTGTCTTCATGCCCATTGGCGTCGTGCTGCAGCCGTGGATGGGCTCGGCGGCCATGGCTGCCTCCTCCGTGTCCGTGGTCCTCTCGTCACTGCAGCTCAAGTGGTGAGTCCCTGCGGCGGGCCCGGGGGCCGGGGTGGGTGTGCGCCCCGAGCGGGGCCCGGCGTGTGTTTGTGTAACGGCTTGTCCACCACGAGCCAAGTTTGCCTCTGATCAGTCACCTCGCACTGCTTCTTCCCGTTACTCTGCTCGACGGCTGTCTGTGTCGAGAGGTAGCTGTAGGATCCCTGTCTGTAATCATTTTTCCTTTTTTAAAAGGGATCTTTATTTACTTATGCTTTCAGTTAACAAAAGTTAATGACAGCCTACTATGTACCAGGCATTTGGCTAGAAAGTTTCTAAGTTGGGAACTTGCCCTGAGCCATGGGAGTTTGGTGGCCTTTCTTTCCTTTAAAAGCCTTGAGGCCCTGATACTGCGTGTTATTAAAGACTTCATGAGAGGCCTTCACCGGGCTTTACAGAAAAAGGCTGTGTGTCCAGAATGGCTCAGGTGCTCTTGGATTCTTGCTTTGCAGCTACAGGAAGCCGGAGCTGGCGTGGTATGAGGCGCAGGCGCAGGGCCGCATGAAGCCCCTGACCGAGTCCCAGGTCAGTGTGCACATCGGCATGGACAACCGGCGGCGCGACTCCCCACGGGCCGCGCCCTGGGACCAGGTCCGCTACATCAGCCAAGTGTCCCTGTCCTCCCTCAAGTCTGACGGGCTGTCCCGGCACGGCACCGCGGCCGGCGACGAGCGGGGAGCAAGTGGCCTCCGCTCCTGAGTGACCGGGACCAGGAGCCATGCGTCCGAAAGCCGCAGGCGGTTGTGGCCCCCACCCGGCCCCCCTCCCTGTGTGGCCGAGGCTCCAGCCTGACAGCAGCAGCAGCAGGCGGCGGAGCCCCTCGCCAGCCCTGGACGTTCTAGATCACCCCTCCCCGCGGCTTGTGGACCACGCTGCCGGGGTCCCATGGGCTCATTGGAAACCTTGCTGGCCTCGAGAAGAGGAGGGACAGCCAGCCCTCCTCGCATCCTGTGCCGTAGCGTTTGGGATGACTGCCTGTGAAACGAGGACGATCTCGTTGGGTCCAAAAACTTAGCTGGGCCTGTCCACAGAATTCATTAAAACCTCGGGCTCCGGCGCTTTTTGTTTCTTTTGGTTTTTGTTTTTTTGTGTTTTTTTTGCGGTACGCGGGCCTCTCACTGTCGTGGCCTCTCCCGTTGCGGAGCACAGTCTCCAGACGCGCAGGCTCAGCGGCCACGGCTCACGGGCCCAGCCGCTCTGCGGCACGTGGGATCCTCCCGGACCAGGCCCCGAACCCGTGTCCCCTGCATCGGCAGGCGGACTCTCAACCACTGCGCCACCAGGGAAGCCCTCCGGCGCTTTTTGACGACACCCACGTGCATCGCGTATCCGAGAGCATCACTTACCTCGGGTGTCCCCGTCTTTTCTGCTGGCGCCATCTCTTCCTTTTCTGTCCTTGACCCTGGGGCTGTGGCACCCCGTCGTCTGAGGGCCGGGCTGATGTCCTCACGTCCCCGCGGCTGCTCTGCAGGGGGCTCATGTGCTCCTTCCTGAACCCCTTGCCCACACGGCCACCAGAGAGCCGCCATGCTTCTTTCTCCTCGGGGTGAGGAGAGGTCTTTGTTGCTTACGACCCTCTTCTCCGTGGAGTCCTGGCTTCTCAACGCCGCCGAATCCAGTGCTGTTGCTGACTGTCGCTGCCCAACTGGAGGGAGGGTCTCAGAGCCCGAGACTTGAGAAATTCGGCTTCTTGGGGTGGGGTGGGGGTGGTCCGGGGGGACTCAGGGAGGCATGTGGTGCAGGAACCTGCTTGCTCCGTTCCAGGGGCTTCAGTTACATGGCCCACTATGTGACTGTCATCCCACGTGGTGCATTGTGGGAGTCAGGTCAGTGCTGCCCCAGTGCCTACAGCACTCCGGGGAAATGATACCCAAACAAGAGAGGAAATCTCAGTCCTCCACACGCATTGACTTCTGCACGCAGAGCTGGTGCCTTAGGGAAGGGGGTGACCACAGTTTCCCAAGAGAACATCTGTTTCTAACTTTAAGTGGCCTTTGTGGTTGCACAGCATCGGAGGGGCAGCAGTGGGGCCCATGGCGGACTCAGGGCTTGGTGGTGATTGGCAGACCACGCGGGGTAGACTAGTACTATCAGAATCTTAGACTAGGCAGTGCAGAGCCTGTTCTAAGTTCCAAGGTGAAGCCCTTATCACACACATTTTAGTTAGTTACTGTCAGTTATTTTCCAGGGGGATATAAGCACTTTTTATAAGTTACCTCTCATCCTCCCAAAAAGCCAGCAAAGTTAGATAATTCACAGGCGGGAAACAGGCTCAGAGAAGCTAGGAATCCCACCCAGGATCACACAGCCAGTATACGTGGCAGAAGAGGGATCTGAATTCATGTCTGTTGGCTCTGAAGTCTTTTCTCTAACTTGGCCCTACCTTGAATATTTTGCTCAATAAGAATAAACGAGAAAAAGGCCCTTGCGCTCCCGGAAGACCGAACCTGCCGGGTGATATATTTGCTGACTTGGGGTGAGATCTGACCGCGAGGTCATGTCATGTTCCCTTTGGATGGTTCCTTTCCATTTGCATATAATTTAGTTTTTGCTGGGTCTTAGCCTCTAAAGTTGATGTGCAGGGTTTTGTTGTGTTTTTATGGTTTCCAGTCTTCCCTCCCCTCCCCAGCCCCTTCCTGCTCTGTGTTCCCAATTGTGTCCTCTCTTTACTCCTGGCTGTGCTTGGGGAATGTGTCCTGTTTTGTAACTGGGCTAATCATTGTCTAAAGAATCTAATTGTATTGATTTTTCAAAAAGCTTTTAGGACCATAGATGTCATGTTTATAGGGACGTGGAAATATTTATATAATTGTACAGAAAATAACCTTTCAGAGATGTTCAAAGTATAAGTTTGTTTTGGTCAGAAAAGAAGAATTCCTATTTCAAAAACTTTCCCATGCTATATTAGAATAAAGTTTCTTTTTCTATTCATCTAAAAATTTGCCTTTGGCTGGCTCCGAGTGGGAAGCGTGTAGGAGCCAGTGCAGCGCCATCTTTGGTGAGAACCTCGAGGTGCTGGCTTTGCTCAGTGCCTTTTCAGGGGGAGAATAGAATGCGGTTTAACAGTGGAGGCCAGGAGGGTGGCCCGAGCCCTCTGATGGGCCATCCCAGCACTGTGTGAGCCCCTCTCCCGAAGGCCTTCCTCAGTGGTCTGTGGGGAGAGCTCTGGAAAGCACCGCCTCAGGGTACCTGTCCCGCTGGTTCGGACACGGGCCTAGGTGACCCCATCATATGCACTTCCCTGGTTGAGGGCGATTGTCTACAAATGGCTGTTCTCAAATGCACACATTTAATCAGAACAGCTATATTTTGGGATCCTTGGCCCTGAAGGAATCGGGTGGGAGGGGTAGTAGAAAAGTCTGGACCAAAGTGCTGTGTTGGGAAGGCTCTGTGGGCATCTTGTGTGTGTGCGGGGGGGGAGCTGTACCTAGAGGTGAAGTGACAGTGTCATTCGTATCCAAAAGTATCCAAACCAGGATACTTTTAAGAGTGAAAGGAGGTGCTATTAACAATTATGACAGGGCAACTGGCCTGAACTGGGACTACCCAGGCAAACTGGGACGTGTGGTCACCTGCCTTAAAAGGGAAATAGACATTTTGCTGTCGTCACCAACACAAACTGTAACACTTCAGAACTTTGCCCCGATTGTAGGTTCCACAGACATGCTGGTGACCTAATCCTTCATCAGACTGAGAGATTTCCCCCTCTGTCACATCCTGATACCAACACTTCTCTGTAGAGTCATTAAGGTGACTGTCTGGCAGCTTGGTGTCAGTGCACAGCTGGAGAGCCAGGCACGGGCTACGCTACGTGCCCTCCAGCACAGCCTTAGGACTTGACACCCGGCTTGCTGGACGCCTTTTCTGGAGGCCTGGCTATGGGAATTTCATGTCGTATGCACGTCCCGTTGTGGAAAGGGAAGGTTGAGTCCATTTCTTTAGAAAATAGATGTTTTCTAAAACTTGAGCAAATTTCCCTGATAGGATTCCACATGCACCCGAATAAATCATAACATCTGTCCATTCCTGATAACTTTTCAGCCTTTAAGACCTTAGTGAAGAATTGTGATAGGATCACCTATTAAATAAATGAATGTAATAATTCTAGATTTTCTCCTTCTCTTAAACAACGGCACCTGGAAATTGACATGTCCAAAAATCGGTCCCCAAATTGTTTTGCTGGTTTACTGTGGAACCAAGACTAATAAAAAAATGACCTTTATTTTAAGAAAATCCAGCGTAAGCCAAACTCAGCCAATCAAATAGGTGAATTAGAAAAAGGTTTGAATTACAGAAGGATTTTTTCTTTTTGCTTTGAAAAATTCATGATGATACTTCAGCAGCTAAGTTCCCTAATGTGTATAAAATTCTTCTGGAGTGAGAAAAGTTTTATTTGCATACAACTTTTTCTTCACTGCATCTTTTGTTTTAAAAGAAAGTAAGGAGTAGCATACACGAAGAAATGCTTTAGGCAGCCAGTCGTGCTGACGCTCGGTTTCCCCTTCAGATTACCTTGATGTGTGGGAAAGCTGAGTTGGTATTGGAAAGTATTGTGGAGCTCTTAGGAATGAAACCACCCTCCGTTCTTCATTTTCAACCTCAGCTTGGGCAGAGACATGAGCACCACTGTTTTGGTGCCTTCCAGAGGGAGATGTCTGCTTGTCTGCCGTGTTCCTTTGTGTAAAGACAATGACAACGGCTGAAATTACAGGATAGAATATGAGAATGTTAAATAACGCTGTGAAATCCCAGAGTCTCCTTTACTCTGTTCAAAAAGATTAAAAAAATAAATAAACTGATGGAAAATCATCTAAGGGCTAAGATGAAAACAAGAGCTAATGGAAATTTAACATTTTTTTCCACTGAAAAGGAAATGGCAATCATTTCTTCTTTATATAAACATGAAACTGCTTGTAGCAAAAACTGAAGCATGCAGAAATTTATAAAGGGGGGAAGAGGCTGCCATAATACCACCCCCCCCAAAAAGGAAACCCCATGGACATGATTTCATGGAGGGGTGTCCTTTGTGAGGGGACAGCACTGGGGCACTGAGACAGCGAAGCCTATCTGCCCATGGGGGACCCGGCTCCCTGACCACGTTAAAACCGTCTGAGCACAGAGGTGCTGTAGGGGCCCTGTTGTGAACTGATGGCCACCCAGGTACCCGTAAGTTCAGGGGACAGACAGCGTTCAAATACTGTGGGTGTCGCAGTTGGGTCCATCACTTTTGGCCCAGCCGGTCCTCACAGTGGTGTGAAGAGATACTTGCGTCCCTGCCCCATTTCAACAGTCAAGCTGACTGTCCAGGAGACAAGAGTCAGGCTGAGTGTTCAAGCCCATTTGCTCTGGCCACAAAGCCCGTGTGCCCCTCTGGGCTACCCACTCCCTGCAAAGGTGATGCTGGGTACTCTCCTTAGCAGGAGAGGCTGGGCTTCCTTGCCACCCCTTGGTGCCTGGCGTGGGACACGAGAAGTGTTCTTTGGCAGGCCAGTGTGGTTTATCTCAAGAGCCACCAGGTGTCTCTCTGACCAAAACAACTTCCCAGTCTATAGCCAGAGCCCACATTCTCCTGGTCAGTTTTTGGAAGCATCTGGAAATTCAAATAGACATCATCATAATGAAAATGTGGGTGATGGGGCAGAGCGGGAGGCTGGAGTTAGCTCTGGCACTGGGTGCCTCTACGATGTGTTTATATCTGTACTTGCAGCCCAGGGTTTGAGCCTTCTCAAATTTGCTCTTAGCGGTGCAGAGTACATCAGTGGGATGACTCAGCAGTGACATTCCTTTGTTGTCACGTGTGCCTTAGCGTCATATAATATTCCTGCAAGTTTAGATCTTTTTTAAAAAAATAGAGTTATTTATTTATTTATTTATGGCTGCATTGGGTCTTTTTTTTTTTTAACATCTTTATTGGAGTATAATTGCTTTACAATGGTGTGTTAGTTTCTGCTTTATAACAGAGTGAATCAGCTATACATATACATATATCCCCATATCTCTTCCCTCTTGCGTCTCCCTCCCTCCCACCCTCCCTATCCCACCCCTCTAGGTGGTCACAAAGCACCGAGCTGATCTTCCTGTGCTATGTGGCTGCTTCCCACTAGCTATTTTACATTTGGTAGTGTATGTATGTCCATGCCACTCTCTCACTTCGT